TATCATAAAGCTTTGTTATTAGTATTTAAAGTTACAGTGAAATCAATTCGTTTCTGCTTTGATGCAAAGACCAGCTAGCACGTGTACACACTTGTACTGCAGGTAATTATGCAATTGTGGTAAGATCGGGTTTGAACTAAAGCACCACAACTAAGTTCCTTTGCCGGACGGCGTTAACAACGGCAGTGATTGAAATCATTTCTTCGCCTCTCTTATTTCCTTAGATGCATTGTCCACTGGCCCGATAAAACTACCATTAAGTGTTAAATGATTTTACTGCATCTTAGAAGCCGAACCAATTATGCGGCTAACACGGTTTTCAGTAGGATCACCAATTTTCTTCACATTAGCTTACTCGTACCTATGCAATAACTTTCTGCTTTCCAATATTAAAAGAATCAAAGAAAAGGTTAAATAAATAGGAATTTAACCTGACTGTGTTACAGTGAAGTTATTCATTCACCATCCCATACAATTGTCATTCCGTATTTCACCTTCTAAACTACAACATTTCATATCCTACATATTCTATATCTTACCTTTTCTCCTTTCTCGTGACCTTGGTATCGCCTTTCTTCGATCTCAGTTTTCAGGTCGCAAAGAGTTGGTTGCTGTTGTTGCCCGGCATATTTTACAGCTTTTTTGCCTTGTCTCATGTGAGTACTAGTCTGTTGCACAGCGACCGGCAAGCTGACAGTTATTGAACTAGAGAATGAAAATGCGACCTTTGCGACGTCCTGCCGGTGAAAAATTTAAATTTTAAATTTTTCATGTTTGCCGAGAATACAATAGTTCAATCGGCTTTGACCAATCAGTGTTTGAATAACCAGGTAGTCAACTTATTAGTCGATTGCCACGTATTGACTTGCTTTCGCGCCGTATGAATTAACCAGCGATTTTAAAATTCACAAGCCACACCTACTAGATCGTGTATGTCGCACCTCTCCGGTCTGGCCTGCGAGCACGCTCTCTTTCGTATTTCGGCAAGCGAAGCGAACCGAGCGAGAACGCGCGAGCAAGGGGCCCCCGCTATCAGGGCGGATAAAGGTTGGGCGGTGAAACGAGCGCGTCCGAGCAAAAAGGTGTGATGCAGTGGACTGGGACTCTGCTTAGAAATGTCGTTTGTTTTTGACTTCGGTCAGGGCTTGCGATGTGGTTTGTACATTAGACACTGCCGCTGTCACTGGATTATGGCGGCTTGATTTGTTTTCTTGCACTTCTTCCTCGTTCCTTTGTGCTGATACGCTATCTCCGAGAGGCAAATGTTGCTATTTTTTGCGGGAGGTTTAGTTGGAGTAGACAAACATCTCTTTCAAAGGGTTTCTTTTATTACTTCCGTGACTCTACCCCTGAATTATATTTTCGTTCTGCTACTCGCCAATGTCGATGTTATTCCAAAACAAAAACAACTAAGTACTGTCTAAAACACGAAGGAAAATCTCATCCATGTCATCCATGGCAAAACTAAAAGACAGCAGATCGTGTTTCATAACTAGATGACGTGTATTTTATAAATGCGTGCAGCTCGTGCAGGGTGAAATTATGCTAATTTCAATCACCATCATACTTCTTTTTAATTTTGAAAAAAACATCTCATACGTCTTTCTGTTTCTTCGAAACTTCAAAATTAGTTTCCCCTCAGTTTTTACTCTTTACCTTGTTTTGTTTTAGAGAGAAAAACTGAGAAAAAACCTTACAACTAACCTCAATAAATTTTGTTTACACGCGCTTGCCGAATTGCAAAGCATTGCGCGAATCGCCATGGCGCGTTGCACCCGAGAAGCAAAGTTTGAAGAAGTACAACGCCACTATATCAATATATAATTTTTTGTTATGTTATACAAAATTTATCCCCCTTTAACATATGTAAAAATTGAGGTTAAGAAGTGTTAAGCTTTTGCAAACGAAACGGCGAAAGACGATTAGGTGATATTTAGTGGAAGGAGACGGTATTCAACACTTTCAAATTAAACTCAAATTTTGGCATTATACGACCAACAAGTTTGACTTATAGACGTACAGACACAAATATATGAAACTGTCTATTGACATTGTTATGAAACGAATTTATCTATTGAACATTGTAGCCTGAAATTACCGAAAGAAAATAGGATTTCCGGCTTGCAAAAAGGAAAATTTCGCCGGCCTTCAAGCGCACCGGAAGCGCGGAAAGAGCGCTCGTGCCAGTCCTACTCCGCATCACACATTAAATGAAGAGCGGAGCGCTCGTTTCACCGCCCAACCTTTATCCGCCCTGCCCGCTATCGTGTCTCCTTCCGCGCTTCGACGGCGACGGCAACGGCAGCTTCAAAAAGCAATAGGATTAGATTGGCAAAACAACAATTTTGCACGTGCATCACGCTTTTTTGTACACTTCTTTGCTGTCCCTGCACAACTACGACGTGAAATGACCAAATTTTAAGTTTTTTTGAGGACGGCAACGGCAAGGCGATAAATTCTACCATCTCTTTCTGAACCCCTCTCTTCAGCTCCAGCATAACTTTCCTCCTTTTAAGTAACTGGGCGACTTGGGATAATCGGGAAATGGTTTGAAAGGATGCTGGGGCTATTTTTCAGCGACGTTGTCATGGACCTTGCCGTTGTCTGATCGTAAGGTCCCTATTGATATCCCCCAAATGGAGAGATTGTTCGCAGGCTATTCCGATCGTCAACTTTCTTCGTTCATTTTTCCCATTCAATTCAGTGTTTTCGGCCGTTGTCAGAGTATCAACTAAGTACCAGCCATATTGGTGACTCATAATTAATGCGCGGGATCAGTTTTGTTGAATTAAGGTCAATTGCAAATGGTTTATCGAGGACCTATACAAGTTAAATTTATTTTCTTTTTAGAAGAAATAACGGGATAGTGCAAGAAAAGAGCAACTGTTTTATTCATGTTGAGGAGTCCGGCAAATTTGGCTCATGAACAAAATGCGCGGAAACGTCATAATTTGTGTGAAATAATTGGGAGTCGAAGGGGTAAACAAAATAAACATCATTGCTTTTGCATTACAAATACTTCAAAAGTAAGCGCGGTCTTATGCTGAACATGTTTCGTGGGTGAGGAAACCAAAAACAAAAAGCCTTTTTAACATTGCAACCTCTGTACTAGTCTAAAATATGCTTTTATTTTACCTTTTGAACAGTAGTTTATTATCATTATTATTATTATTATTACTTTAAAATAATCTTCTTAGCTCTCGTCTTTGGTATGGCGAGGGTAAAACCTGGCCATTGCACCATGGCCTGTTGCATGGCCTTACTGATTATTGCGTTTTCAGATACAGAGAAGGCTCCGCTGGCAGCTAGCCTCTTTTGATCGTTAAGTACATCTATTTTGCGCTCCTAGGCTTACTAAACAGACTTGAAAAAAAAAAATGACGAATTTGTATGTCGTTGCTAACAGTAGACGGCTCTTAGATGTCAAATTTTTATTGCCCCGTCGAGATTCGAGCTCTTTTAAAATGATGGGTACAATTCATAGAAAAACGAGACGCTGGGCATATTCAAATTCAAACACACTTGCGTTAAATGCTAGAAAACGCGACAAAGTTTCACAAAGACTCGAAAGCTTTCTCCTCGGCCGCTTCTTTTTAAAGAGGAGCCGGCACGAAACGCGCCAGAGAAAGAGACCTCTGCCGACGAGGCAGACCTTGGTTGCAGACAATCAATTACGAAAAAGTTTTTTTCTGATCGGAAGCTCAGAGTTCTCGGTAACTTCTGTTGATTGCAATCAATCCGATCCCTCTGTATTTTAATTGTTTAAGACCTCTTTGGGTCTCCATAAAATCTAACAGTACTTTACTGAGCTCTGTTTGAAAACTTTTGGTTGCAGGATGCCCGGGACAGGGTGAACGTTGAGAAGACGTGGACAGGTGAAGCACCAGCCTTTTCTCTACTCCAAAAATATACTCTGGGTTCTCGTCGAAAACGCAGACATCTTCCGTAACTCAATACTTCGTCCGTAGTCATCTAAAAAATAAAGTTCAAGATCATAAGAGTTAATAGGTTTGGAAAAGTTTCTATTTATACCGATCCAGGTCTACTAAAGACACTGTGCCTCTTAAAAGTTTGTCGCTGTGGTCCTGCAGCTCTTAAATACTGATTTGGAATAGAAATGGTTTTAATTTTTATTTCAACGGACGTAGGTTATACAAACGTATTTGAAAGCTTCTGTAAGTTGAAAAAATCAGATTAGTTAATTTTTCGGACCAAATAAAGGGGAGTAAAAAAAGTAAAAAGAGATGACTTAGTTAAATGATTTGCTGTCGTAGATGGCCATTCGATTTTTGTGTTATTTTATTATTTTCATTATAACTTCTCTCTGCTTTATTCTAATACCAGCGGAAAGGTAGGCACACTAGGGCTGCGAAATAGCTCTCCCTCTATCTCTCGACTAGGGATGAAGGGGGGAGGGGTAACGTGAGAGCTTGTACACTGGTCGGATACAGGGACTCTTACAGATGATTCTTAGGGTTTATGATACCTGCTCCCTCTTCTCCACACTGCGTGCCATTCTGTCAGCTACCAAAACATCTTGCGCAGATTATGGGCTTGTACTTACATGCGTTTCACGTTAAATTTTGATTGCAAAAGAATATGTTACAGTGCTTTGTAACTCGAACGCCTCTTGAACAATTTCCACTGTTTGACCCCTCCCATACTCAATGACCTTTTCAGTGAACGTGTCAGCTTTTGATTGATAGCTCGGATGATTCTCGATCTCGGTGCTGCGATCTTTTTGGACAGTGCAGCTGCATGCGCACCAACTTCGTTGCCAATAACAATAACACTCCCACTTGAAACTCTAGCCTGTGTACAGACGTCCCTACTCCCTCAGAAAAAAATCGGGAGAAGAGTTTTTTCTGAGGAAGGGGGGACGTCTGTACACAGGCTATTGAAGTCCTACTCAAGTTACTTGGGAAAACCAGACTAATATTTGAGCGATGCAACAGTTATGAGGCTGGTTTTATGAAGCTCCAGTTATCCCTTTTCCACTTACCTTTTAAGTAAAATGTGTGACCGCAAAAGCCGCATCGACCTGTACAGGAACATTTTGTAAAGAGTTCCTTCACGGAAACCCGATATTGCTTGCTACACAGTACATAGACCAGCGGATTTAGAAGTGGGTTAATATGGGCCAAGAGCTCCGTGTAAAAATAAGAAATTTCGTTGTATGAAGAAGGGCCACAGATCAGAATGAACACTCGGTAAGACTGAAAAACAGAGAGATCAAGCAAATGGAACGAGTTGGACTTAATTATAGCTATTATCAGTACAAAATTGTCACTTGAACTTCCTCACAAAAATTTGACTAGCATTGTTCCTAATCCACTCTGTATTGCTTAATACGGTCTTGTTTACTGATTAGGTTGATTGTCAGTGAAAGTATAGGTGGCAACGACGGAAGGGGCGTGCTTGATAACTTTATTTCTCTTCAAAGGAGAAGCATATTCAAAGGGAGGCCTTCAGTAAAAGGGTGCCTTACAGAAATTACGATACATAATATATAACACTTACCAGAAAGGGAACGTAGCAGGCACAAAACAGCCCAACAATAAAGAACGTAATGCGAGCAAAACCACCATGTTGTTTGTTTACCCTGTTAACGCCCGCGCCGCGTTGTTGCTGTTCGGATAGCAAACTGCTGATTCTGCGCTTCCGGTTCAGAAAGCAGAGAATTGTTCCACAAAAGTACAGCAAAGCAACAATGACCAAGCCTCCTTCGACCACAGTAGCATATAACAGAATCTTACCTCTGGATTCTTTGGGCGTAAGATCGAGCGCGCATTGGAATCCCGTCTTGTATAACTTAAACTGACCAAAACCCGAAACAGGCAGGACCAAATGAATGCAGGGCCAAAAGAGGGCTAAAACCAGGGCTTTCTGCACTCTTGCAAATGTGATTTGGTTTCTATAGAATAGCGGTCTTGTGACGGCGAGAAAACGCAGAAAGCACATTATAAAGACGATGAAAAATGACCAGCTTAAGAATGTGGTTGAGATGAACGCAGTAACAGAACATAGAATTGTACCACCAATCCAAGCGCAATTTGCATAGGAGACAATGGAGAGAGGTAAGGTTGAAAGAGGAATCAAAAGATCACTGATGACCAGAGTCCGAACGACGAGGTGATATTTGTTTTCTTCCAGACCTGGGAGCTTCCAAATTGCTATGGCCGCCACGAGATTAGACAAAAATGACAAGAACTGTATAGAAGCCATGGATATGAGACTTGTAAAGTTGTCACATAACGTGGACGAACCTCCAAGGCTGGTTTCGTTTTCACTTAAATTCATCGCTGGTTTCCTGTTACATCTCCCGACATCAACTCAACCGCTCTGTCCAAACGAGAGAAAACGTGGAAGTGATTGTCAACAAGACAAATCCAAAGAAGCCCGCTTGGACAATTGATGTATTCTTTGATGAAAAATATGAATTTTCGGCTTTAGACCTGTACTGGGATACACCGCCGTTACCTGAGTCTATTCGATGCGAAGCTTTTGAAATAGACTAATGCTCAATCTATTTCCAATATTCAAAAACTCATCTCTGTATTTACTATCCCAATTGTTAATCTCAAGCCTACCCAGATTTTCTTGAATCTCTAATGAGAAATTTCTCGTAGTTTATTTGCTTAAGGGATTGAGTTTATAAGGTAGCATTTGCATTTCTACTTTGAAACGGATGGCTATATCTAAGTTGTATGATTACGAAAAACGCTATTGTTTCTTGAATGATATTTATGTGTATTTCATATTACTGATGTTTGGAAAAAAGTATATAAAAGAAAATTATTCTTCGATCTTCATTTACAGCTGCGTTGTTAATGAACATATCACTTAAAATAAACATCTTCATGTAAAATGACAGCTTAGCTTTTAAATTGGAGTTTAGCTGGCCGACTATCCATTTCTTTCACTTTTAAGCAAATACAGCTGTGCTAAGCTTTAGTTTACCAAAGAAAAAGAAAGAAAATGGAACCGAAACAGGGAAACAATGGGCGATGTGTTCAAATATCTACCCAGAAATACTTTGCGGACAAAGGAAGAAAAAAAGGGTGGTAAAGGGGATGGTGTATTGATCACGTTTCATGAAACATAACAGTGGCCATTTCACATTTCACGGACAATAAATTCGGCATTTCATGTTTTAAAACGTTTTTATACGATCAGTCTTTCTTACTTCGCTTAAGAACTACAGCCAAAGAACTGCCTTGTTCGATGTCCTCATCATTCTTCCGTTTCTTGTTCTTGGTGCTGTGAAAAGGAAACCGAGTTCTTTGTTTAGAAGTTGAGGCTCGGCACCAGCTTCTTCTAATACAGAATCATTGTCATCAAAGGAGTTGTCATCGTATTCAGAGAGCTGGTATGCTTCAATCGAACAGTTGAGGTTATCATTTCTCTCCAAAAATTTAAAACAACATGAAAGAAATTCACAGTTCACGGTGAATTAAACACCCGATTGTCGTTTCACAGATGATCGTGGCTCACGGCTATTACCAAAATCACGTTTCACGAGGAGTAGAAAGGTGATTTCACAATTCACGGGGAATAAAACAAGCAATTCACGGTTCACGAAAATACCCTTTCCCACCCTCAAAAAATTGAAGTCTTCTTGGAAAGAAACACATACATAGTAAAGAAGAAAGAAGACCAAAGAAGTTCGATTATTGGGACAAAGCCTCTCCAAATCCCCGCCTGTGAATTTTCCAACCAACAGTCATGGGATTACGTCTGAACTTTCTACAAGCAAATTATGCTTTAGTGTATAATTGATAATATTTCAATAGACCGTCAAAATAAAGTAACTGCTGAAAAAACATGACGATGTTCTGTACGCGTTCCCCATCAGTAATACGGAGTGATCTTGAAGAGGTATGACGTCCTGACTTTGAAACTAGCCATCGGCAACGATTTAATCCAGTCAAATGAGACAAACTCAAACAAAGAAAAGAAGAGATAGGGAGTAAAGAAAAGGAAAATTGAAGGACATTAAATTTTTGACATTTTACTCGAAAATAACCGAACTCCAGTTAGAAAGAGCAAATGAAAAAAGTTTTTTTTTTTAAATGTAAACTTTTTGAGAGGAGAAGTGTGGCGTCACGTTACCATGGTAGCAAAATTTCTAGATCTCATCAACCTTTCATGAAAGAGACGGCCCGAGCGACCGAAGAAAAGTATTAGCTATTCGTTTAGTCTTGAGTGCAATCATCCATAGGAAAGTCATACATGTTTTTTTTTTTGCCATATTTGCAGGACCATGGTTTGTTGAGATCGAGAAATTTTGCTACATGATAGCAAAGCGACGTAACGACTTCACCCGTATATAGAGATCTTTCGTGTTACATGTTTAATTTGGCATCTATCGTGCGACTGAGACCCGCGCCGTCTTGTTTTGCGGGTTTTACGAACATTCCTTATCTTTTGAACTGTTTACTTAATGGCATACTGCCGTCCGCTGCTTTAGAATCAGGGGATCAAAGACCAAGTCATTTGTCATTTCTGTCATTCTTTGCTGAGAACTACCAACATCATAAAAGCCCCGGCAGAGGAAGTAGAGACCACTCACATACGGGAAATTATACGGGGCTCAATGACGAATGAGACTTCCAGTGTAAAGACGAATGAATTAATCGAGTTTATTTAAACACGGTAAGGATTTCAACTTACAATCGATATGTTGGTTTTTAAATTAGCCGCGTCAAACTTCTATAAACATTGAGCTTTGCGGGAAGAATCCTCCCCATCGTCCCTTGCGTTACCAGTCACTCGTGTTTTGCGCTCATGGAAATATTTTTGTGGGTCACGTGACATAAACATGGCGGCCGAGAAGGGCTCTCGTTTTTCGCTTTACGAAAGAATAAGATGGTCTATCTACATCTGTCTATTTTTAGGCTATTCCTCGTATTATTTTTGTAGAAAATCATACACTTTTGTTGTTCCAGCTCTCATAAGTGAACTGAACATAAAGAAGAACGAACTCGGAGTTATAACGAGCGGTTTTGCCGCCATGTATGGTATCGGAAAGTTTAGCGGAGGTCTCTTATCTGATTCGTTAAGCCCGCGAACAATATTTACAACGGGAATGTTACTAACTGGAATTATAAACATTGTGATAGGATTCACTGGAAATGTATGGCTATTAACTTTTCTTTGGAGTGTCAATGGTTTAGCACAAGGTTGTGGATGGCCTCCTTGTGCCAAGTTACTCAGAGAATGGTTTGCCCCATACCAGGTAAGCGTTCATGTATATCTACATCTAGTAGCCGAGGAATACCATCATCACATACGACGCATTTGTACAATTTTTAACCCCCGCAGTTTAACAGTGTAGTTCCAAGGGTAATTTTGCATTGAGAGCTATCGAAATAAATTATTAATCTGTGAGTGGTGAGTAATACGCTTAACCAACCATTCACAATTTCTGCAAGACTGCGAGCAGTGTCATATTTTTCTTTGCAAAAGTAATCCACGTGTATAAACCCATGCATGCGAGCGACAGGCTGTGAGTGGCAAAGCACCAGTCTTACCCTTATTCAGTCAAGCCTGGTTTCCATATGATAATCTGAATTGTCCTGATCACCACAGTTATTTAAAAACATTTCGAGACGATCCGGACGACTTGGACGATAGATAGTTTCCATACAATCGTCTTGATCACCTTAAGGACAAGAGACATGGGGTCGTCAGCGCTGTCTCTGGGTCAGACATTAGAATTTTGCGCGTGTTTCACAAACAAGCCAAACCAAGAGCCATAGCCATAGCCATAGCCATAGCATAGTGATTAATTTTAATCGGAGAGTGAACCTCATGCCTTGCTATCTGCTTTTTTTCTTGATTTTGTGGTGTTGACAATCTAGAAAAGTTCCTCAAAGACATTTGAAATAGTGCCTATTCACAGTGTAAACATTTTTGCATTATTTTTTCAACTTCAGCGGCATCCAGACCAAATTTATTCTCAATTACTGGAATAATAATGATTTCTGGGATAGCCTTTGATCCTTCCGATTGCCTCAGTCGTCTGAGAGCATTTCCAAATGATCACTTTGAAATTTACACAATCGTCCCAATCGTCTGGATAGATTTCAACGCTATCCAAGCAATCAAGGTCCTTTCAGTCATCCTGGTTATTTGCGATTGTCCGGGTAGCATTTCCATATGATCGTCCCCATCATCTGAACATTAGTTGAGACGACTGGGATGATTGGGATGGTTATATGGAAACCAGGCTTCATTAAGCCGTCAGCAGCTGTAAAATTGACCAATCAGCTACTCCGTTTCTGGACTGATGGATGGTTTGTTTACTACAAAAGAGTTCCCAGTCCGTCTTTTCTCATGACTCTCGTCCAATATTTTTTTACAACATTGCTCTTTGCAATTGGGCTGCTGGGATAAGAACTGGAGGATTTTAAGAAAAAAGATGGACTGCAAGCTGACCTGTGTAGCAGGTGGGGTCGTTCATGCGAGAAAGCTTTTGGCAAGAGAACTGCAAACAAAGGGTTGCCTTTATGTTGCTTATTGGCATATATAGAATCAAAGCTGTATGCTTGTTGGTTTTTACTAAAACTCATTTTCTTAGAGTCAGTCAATTAATTGGCTAATTGCAAATAGATTATCACTAAATATAAAAAAATCTAACTCTGTCATTTTTCGACCAAGACAAAAAAAATTACATCACCAAGTCAACTTGAAAGTATTTGACCATCATACCAACTCTTACATCCCTTTAGAATGCAAAAATTTTGTCAAATACTTAAAGGTGTGCTTATTGATTTTAATCTCTTGTGAAATACCACATCGCCCACATTGCTTCAAAAATAAGGAAAACAATTGGCATAGACCAATTCGGCTAACTCAATGTTGTACCCAATTAAAACCCTTTGGGAATAAAACGTTTTGTCTCAGGAATTTCCATATCATTTAAACGTAAATGGCACATTATAATGCAAATACAATACACAAAGAATCTTCCTGGGAGATTTGAATTGGGTACGACACTGAGTTAGCCGAATAGGTCTATTATTGCCAGCCTTAGACACTTTGTCTTTTTTTCGAAATATGGCATAAAAATCTGGAATAGTCCACTGTGTGAAATATGTCAAATGTCCAAAAATAACTTTAAAATCAATGTCCATGACACATTTATATACTCCGAATACTTTCAGAAGAAAATGATGATATTGATTCACCCAATTTAATAACAAAAAATTCTTGAACACTTGACTTATATTTGCAATAATTATACGAGATTGTAAACTTAATTTAATCTATGTTTTTGCTCTTTTTCTCTAGTCTTGCTTGTGAACTATTTATTATATAAAATAGTAACGTGTAACCACTGCTCGCCTTGACTAGCTAATTGTTAACTGTGGGCAGTGGGTATTGCTTGTAAAATTTGAAATAATCAATTGAACAGTCATAAAAAAGTGTATCAATTTTGTTCAAACCAAAAAACAATACAGGTTACATTCCTTTTGACCAATCTAAATTCAGATTTGGTGATCCAAAATTTGATTTTTCATTTTGTTAAGGACTAAACCAATCCTATATTGCAATCTGAATGATCCACCTCCGTACTTGGATCATTTGGATTGGCATCTCAATCGGGTTTCAGATTTTTGTTCCATTTAACAAAACTGCTTTTCAATAGCAAGAATATGCTTGTTCATCGATAAACACGACGGTTCAAGGTCAGTTCAGGAAAAGTTATTGATACTCCTCTGTTGTTCCAAAGGATTGTAGTATATTAAAGTCAAGTTCCATGGTAACTCTAAATCCTTGAATTAGCAAATGTGCTTGGATTTTCTCATCGTAAATTGTCCAATGTACCGGTATGCCTGTTTAGGGTGCACTTCTCAGCACTTGAGAATTCGTACATGTGATTTTATTGTCCTCTGAATTTGTGTGAATCAAATTCCAGAAAATTCCAAGTTGACTAGTACCAGTATAAACCACCTGTTAGTTAAAGAGCTACTTTTCCTTCCATTTCTCCACAAGAAGACGTTTAATTTAGTGGAAAGAAGTAAAAAACGATGTGTTGAAAATGCGAAGAAGATCAGAGGAGCAGGTAGCTTTTGTATGGATCAATCTTATTTCAGATTTTTGTTCTGGCTAGCACGAAAATCCAAACAATCGTGATTGACTGAACACAAAAAAAAGTTTGGTTCAAAGGAATACAACCACAATAAGTTACACTTGTTCATGTACATTGCATTTGTAGAAGTTTCATTGAGTTGCTGTCCGATGTTCAATTTCTTCTTATCCTTGTAGACGTTTGACTTGGGCCAGGATTTCAGACTACATAAATATGTTGGGTAAACTAAAAGCAGCTTATGGGAAAGTACCCTTGGAGATTAGTAATAAATTAAGAGAGAATTTTTCTTTCATTTCAGTTTGCAACACTATGGAGCCTTCTTACAGCAGGTTGCAACTTAGCAACAAGCATGTCTCCAATATTAACAACATTTCTCACAACGAACTATGGCTGGTCAGCTGGTTTTACTGTTCCTGGAATCAGTACTGCAATACTGTCTCTTTTAGTATATTTCGTGATTTTTGATTCTCCATCAGAAGCAGGACTGGATGAATTTAATCAGTCTAGCTCAGAGACGTCAAGAAATAAAAATAATTCAGTTAGGAATAAAAGAAAACTCCTCATAGCACTGATGCAGAGTCCATTTTTATGGGTACTAAGTTTTGGATATCTCATGACTCTCTTTGTGAAGACAGGAGTTGGTGAATGGACTCAGCTTTTCTTGATTCAGACAATAGGAAAATCACGATATGAGAGTATGTTACAGTGAAAATAACAAAAGCATGAACACCAGAAATATTCCTGGAATGTTATTGTGTTGCAAGGAAATAGCCAATCAGGCATGGGAAAACTAAACCACAAGCAATTGTTGGTAATTAATTTTTGATTTTGTGGCTAGCTTGTGTGTCCTGGTGTTTGCTGTGATTGGTTGTAAGACATTAAACATTCCTGAAATATTTCCGGTATCCGCGGTTTTGTGAGTTTGTAATTAAACTAGGATAAGTTAACTTCTTCATTGTACAGTACTTTTGTCTATGATAGGTTGACCTTATCATTTGTCTCTTAATAGTTTAAACTTTGGTACATCCTTGGAGACCCAGGGACAGTCAGTCCGGTCAGGATAAATGACGGCGAAAGTTTTCAAGATTCTACTCTTAACAAACTAGTTCCACAACTCGTTCAAATGCTTGTCTCTGATTGGTTTTGTGCCCAATTGGAGGCCAGCATCTATCATGCTGCTTTCATAATCCTCTGATACCAAGTTGTTTACCTGCAAACTAAATGAACAAACTTTGGTAGAGTAATCTTGCAGAGTTGCATGAACAAGCCTAGAAGAACTCTGGTGTTTATGAATTAACCTTTAATCAGTCCAAAGTGTGGTTCCATTGAATATATGTAAACTGCATGGAACTAAACCTTCAGATAGATGCACCTTGGGTTAATTTGATTTCCATATAACCCCAACATTTATTATGCATGCAAAAATTTCCTACTTTTTCTCACCAATACATGTAGTTAGAACACCTGTATAAACAAAGTGGAAACATGTATGCATAATAAATGTATGTGTTATATAGAAATCTTACCTTTCATTTTGTTTTGTTTTGCTAGCATACTAAACTATGGCGTATCCTCAGTTTTGTGGCCCCATTTTAACTGAAAAATCTTCTTGAAGAAAGCTCTCCTTCACAACCAGACAGGTACAGCGATCTACAGCGAACAGTCGAGTTTGCAGCTTAATGCCTTAGTGTAAGAAGATCATGAAAGAAGCGTGATAGATGCTGGCTTCCGATTGGGCACAAAAATCTATCACAGGGAAAACAAATTGGCCAATAGCTGTAACAATTGCAAAAGTCTTTGGGAATTCTACAGGGCCCAGTTTCCTCATTCTCGTTTCTAAAATGGCGGATAAGAGTAAACCAAAACAGACAATTTATCTACTTGTGATTGGGAAAGAATTATAAACAGATCATGTGTATTTACTGGTGGGGTTCAAGACGTTTTAAATGGATAATGCCAAGTACATACATGTAGGTCTCACTCTTTTTGTGCTGTGTTAAACTGCAAGAAAATAATGTGTTTAATTTCTAGTAAAAACATTTTGTTATGATTTCTTACGATACCTTTGCTCATAATTATTCTGCAGGTAGTATTGCTATGAGCTTTTTGGAGATTGGTGGACTATGTGGTAGTTTAACATCTGGATATGTCACAGACAAGTTAGTTCAAAAGGTATTAGTGATAAGATAAGTTAGGAAATAATTTCATTTGCATTTTGTCAACATTCCAATAATTCTCTAACCTTAATGGGAAAAAAATTGTTACAATGTTGAAAAAATGCCAATGAAATAATTTATTTCCTTATTTTCATCATTACTGCTGTTATTAATATGCTTACATAACAGCAAACTTCACAGGAATGTAAATTTTCACGTTTATGAAGGTAGTTAGTAAAGGTAATATGGCTCACAGAACTCACATGGACAGATATGACATAATATAAACGGTTGACAAATAATGTGAATTCTGGTTATCCCAACAACATAATTGCATACATGTTCTGAGATTTTGTTACTGTTTAAAAAACATTCTACACCTGTTTCTAAACTTCTCGACAGCCTTGGTTTAGTTATTACACTCTTGGTGCGTTTCATTGTTTACCTGCAAAATGAGTTATATGTTTATAAAACCCATGATATTTCCCAGCTAGAAGAGTTTTCTTTCTGTTTATTATGAACAAGAGATGGAGGATATTATATAATTTATTTATGGCCTCATGGAGCTGTGAAATTTCCCTGAGGACTGAGAGCATTTAATATTTTTATGAGTGAGCACAGCGAATAAGTGGAATATTTTTTAACATGAGAGAGAACTAATCTCCAAGCAGCCATGTAATGTTCTATTTATAATTAAATAAATTACCAATGAAATATATAACCAAACCAATTCACTTTTTGCTGCAAAAGGTCAATGTATCATGTAGCTATGGTAAGGGTAATCTTTTCACATGTCAAGACAGGTTATATTCACATGTGACTTTGGTTGGTGGTTACATAACAATTTTTTTTTCAATAAAATCAGAAATTAGACTTTGCTAGCATGGAAACGGTAATGAAAATGGTCTAGAAACACATAATGAAAGCAAAGGAGGATAGTACGGGTTTAGTGAATTCTCCACACTCCTTCAGTACAGCTGACACTTAATGACGGAAAGTTTATTGGGTAAATAACTTACTGTTTTCTCCTGTCTTCTTTGCAGTATGGAACATCAACATCAAGTAGTCCCAGAATACCACCAATGATTTTGTTTGCACTTGTTCAGCTAGCATGTATCTATCTTTTACATACAGGTGTGACATCCACTTCATCACTGGTATGTATCTAAAGAGAAAACTGTAGTGCTTTTACAGGTGTTCAAATTGTGTATGCATTCTATAGGGTACACAATATTATCAGATTGTTAGTAGCATAATGTGCAAACTTTGAGCACTGAAACCTATTTCAATATAAAAATGAATAAATATTGGAGGAAGGAGAAATTATGCATCCTTATCTCACCAGACAGAAGAAATGTGACAACTGCCCCGCGGGCCAGGGCACTCCCTTATTTTGGACCTAACAGATATGTGCCATTGAACAGGGTATGGTTTTCAGGGTGTTGCATCTTAGACATCTTATAAATAGTATACACATTTTCACTATTTAGCATCTTGAAAAGGGTGTCTTTTTGGACTGGAAGCATGAAAAGAGTATGACCTTTGATGAGTAGAGTGCCAACAATTTTTTCCAGAAAACGTGGTTCCATGATGTTAGTTTAAAAAATCACTTACCTTGTATGCAAGACAAAATGAATCAGGGTCATGTGACAAGGTCTCTTGTCTTATGTTTGATTTTTGTTTTAAACAGGGTAAGGAATTAAAGGCCAGCTTTCTACCCCAAACTTCTCATTATTGTCCCCCACCTGCCGAAAGGTGGCTATCTTGCTTGCCTCAGGGCAATTTGTAAATTAAAGTGGAACTGACTGTACTAATACCTACCACTGGCATCTTGCTTCAATGTATTTCACTAATCTGTTTTCTATTGAATCTTTGTTCTTTTGCAGTGGTTGATTTCTGCATTAGTATTTGGAATAGGTTTCTCACTGTATACAGCCATCAACTTGTATGGTGTTCTAGCCATAGAGAATGGTCCTCCAGGATTAACTGGAACCACACATGCCATTGTTGCTTTAGCAGCAAATGGTAAGGAAACAATGTTGATATTTATGATTGTTATAAGATGTAAACAGTAGTTAATTCTGATTTATTAATTTATTTAATAATTATTAATTCTATGACGATTAGGTAATAACTGATTTTATAATAACTGAGTGATTTTTTGCACACTGACTGGATGAGAGCTATGGTCGGTAAGACAAGTGACAGACCATGGAAATAATTTGAGGGTGGCACAATTTGTTTTCTCTTTCTTGCATGCAGGATTTTTCAAGAAAGTTCAATAGAAATGGACGTCAAAAACTGTCAATGTTATTGTAAAAAACAAATTGAGAACCTTTTCTCACTTGGAATTTTTAATGAGCTCCAGGGGCAAGCTATTGATATTTTCTGGAACCAACCTTTTTTTTTTGTTTTCACAGAAAGAAATAGCCTTTTTGCAAGTTTATATCAGACAAGCAAACTTTAACACAAACCTGGTTTAACTGGTCTCGCATTTGCTCGCATTTGTTCTCAATCTTTTCAAGAGTGCTCTAATTTCGTGGTAAATCAAATTTTCAATTTCACAAGGCAAAAAATGTGTTTAAATTTGCTCTCTGACAAACAGCATAAGGGCTGTTTAAAAAAAATTGTAAAAAAATTAAGGGCTATTCAAGAAAATAATACACAATTATTATTGGATGAGGTTCTTGTAATATCTGGAATACTCAAGGTTGAGATAAGCGTTATCAGCCGAGCTGAAGGCCAAGGCTGATAACACTTATCGAGACCTTGATTATTTAGGATATCACAAAAACTGAATCTAGTAATTGTTTCATTATACATTGTTTTGGCGAAAATAATGACAAACATACTGTCACAAGGAACCTGAATTGATAATGTGTTTTAGAAATCATGCATCGCATATGCAACCTAAAGATTAGTCAGTTATCTGCTAGCAGACAACTATTTATCTGTAGGTTGCACTGATTTCTAAAATTAGCTGTAGGCTCTTAGCCAATGAGAAACAGATAGTGAGTACAGTGTATAATAATAGTGTACAATCTGTTTATCAAGACTTCCTTTTCTTTACAATTTTTTAGTTGGTGCAACACTTGCTGGAATTCCCCTCACAACAATCAGCAAGTCGTATGACTGGGGAGGTGTTTTTGTTGCTCTTGAACTGGCTTCTCTTTTCTGTTTCTGTTTACTGGTTGGAGCAAGGAACGTTAACACATGCATGATTCAGCCATCAAAGCTGGAATGAAGATAATCAAAACCAACATGGTCCTGGCATCAATCTCAGAATTTCTTTGCACATTAAATGACACTTAAAGGGGCTGTGTCATGGCAGTCCAGTCCATTTTGTTTAATTTTTCCAATTACTCGCCTTCAATCACTATGGAACTTAAAGTAAACAAAGAAATTACATGTAAATGACAAAGTCAGAGATTCAAGACAAACATATATGTCTCCTGAGCATGATTTTTGAAGTTGCAAACAAGAGAGATAAACTTTGAAAAACTGTTAGGCTGAACAGTTTTCAAAAACCGTAATTTCAATCCGTTCCAATCTTTGTCACTTTTGCCCATCCGTGACATCTGTTGTATCTGTTGTGTTATTTTAACCTTCCTTTAATGTTTTAAGCGGTTATATATTTTCATGTTTCTCTTGCGGCATTTTCTAATACCTGTAATTTGGCTGAATTTCGTGACACAGCTCCTTTAACAGGAAAAAATACATTTTCACCACCACCAACAACAAGGCGATGTGTTCTTTGAATGCTCAAGCTGAATGAAGGTCATGAAGACAACAAGATCACACTGAAAACAATTACTAGTCAATGAAAGGGCTTTCAAGTACATCTTCAAAGATAAAAGTGCATCTTATCAAGATCTCTTACAAGGAATGCGACCTCCATCAAGGAATCCAGGACATGCTATAGACAATAAGCAGTAGTATATCTGACAAAGCCCCACCTGCAATTAAGGATCTTTCACTTTACACTTATCCAAGTATAATCTTTGACATGATTATATCCTTTGTTTGCCTAAAGTTCCGAAAATCATGGAAATATTTTGCCACTAAGCAATGGAACAAGCAAGCAAATGATATTTGAACTACACGTAAAATGGACATTAGAGAAGTGACAAGCAAAATCAGTTTGACTGATATGGCATTTTTAGCAACTGCTGCTTGTTGTTTTTTCGTGTAATACAATAATAATAATTATAAAGATAGACTGATAATAATAATCATGATGTAGAAGTTATAAAATATTTCATTTAGAATAAAAAAGACATGAGCTCATATACCCAAACCCACAGAATAATATTACAATATTTTTGATAACAAATTGAGCATCCACCAAATTAATTGGTAGTCTTTTTGTAATCTTTTTTGCCGTCACACAGCTAGTTCAGGACAGCTTTGACTAGCCCATCCCCTTCAAGTAGGTCAAAAAAGGACCAAATTTTCATAGCTGAAGGGTGTTCATATTGATCAGGTTCCACTATTAAGAGGATGTAAGAACAGACAATAATAGAATTGACCAAGGAAGCAGATTTGTGACACAGTTTTATTTTACTAAAAATTTCATACATAAAAAATTTAATTTAACATCTGTCTACTAAGCAATGTTTACCCATATTCTGTAAAACTCCATGGTGACTTGAGTCATTGACCGAGAAATAAATGACAAGGTCAAAGTTATTATCTTCCTGGCGAGACATTTCCACAGGGTTTCATTCAATTACTTCAATTTTAATATGGTGTCCATTATAGATGTTGCCACTTGTACACGGTTAATTTCTGTTCATCAATTGTGGCCAGAAAGTCACTTCCGTTAGCAGCAAATGGAAGAACATCTAAAGTCTCTTTTCCTTGGTTGGGTAGTTTCTGTAGCTGACTTCCATTCCTTCCATTCCATATTAAAGTCTACAAGGAAACCAAATGTCCGTAATTTGAATTGCATTTGCTGTGTGCTTTCTAGATGTAATTTTTCAATAACTGAGTAACTTCTCATATTCCAATAGACCTTTTTACCGATACAGTGGCCATATTCAATTAATTCGATTTAAGGAGTATTATAGGATGCCCAGGGGGCATGAGCTCATTTCGTTTGTATTTTTGAGTGCTTTTCAGGACATTTTTTCTTAGTTTTCTTAGAATAAGATTGTAATGAGAGAGAAGATCCTTGTGCCATGTTTGGATGTAATAATGATCGCCTTTTTCTAGTTTAGTATTAGAAATATGGTCTTTCACTGTATATTTCTCGGGAAAAAGGCGATCATTACCACATCCAAACATGGCACAGGGATCTTTTTTCCCATTACAATCTCATTCTAAGAAAAGTTTAAGAAAAAATGTCCCAAAAGCGCCCGAAAATACAAATGAAATGTGCTCGTGCCCCCTGGACATCCTATAATACTCCTTAATTAAATTAATTTAAATTAATTCAATATGGCCGCTGTATCGGTAAAAAGGTCTATTGGTCAAGGGCTATGTTTGATAAGAGTACAGACCATAGAAATGACATGATTGTGAAACACTGTCTTTTTGTCTTTGTGGGATTGTCCTTGTGCAATTTTCTGAGAAACTTCAATAGTAATGGATGTTTAAAACTGTCAATGTTATTGTAACAAACAAATTGACAACAACTTAGTTTGTGTTACCTGTCCATATCACTTACCGACGAGGAGCTCTCGTCGCCAGCAGCCACCATCAAGGTGTTATGATCATCTGGGCTGGTAAATAATCTTGATTTGCTTAGAAGTTTCTGTGTAGGGCCACCCACACACTGATTGATGGGTTGACATGTACAGAGACTGGCTTCTGTCAAGTAAATTTTAAAAATCAAATCACTGTTGGAGTGCTGAACTCTATTTTTCAAAGGAGCCCCTTTATTTCTGTTGAATTGCCTTCAACTTTTAGTAGAATTCAAGTTAAAAAATCCACTGTACATTCAAGTTAGACTGCAAAACAGCCCATATTTTTGCATAATAATACTTTGCAGGTCAAGAATGGGGGAGCAATCAAACGAAAGTCCTGGAGCAAGGGGAAAAAGTGTGAGACTCTTTCGCCTCACATGCCCTACGGGCAAAAATCCCATGTGGGCATGTCAAAAAACCGATTTTGAGAAAAAAGCAGACTGTTTTGCAGTCTGCATTCAAGTCTTTAGTATCCTATGTACAGACTGTATGGACTGTCTAAATATGAAGAAATTTAGGGCCTCTTTACAAGAGCCTGGTTGACTGGGCTGGATCGGTTTCCAAGATATTGCCTTACCCCTTAATCCCTGGTAAAATATTTGATGTGTTCATATGAGAGCACAGGCTGGCTCAGTTCCCAAGATCTGATCTATCCAGGATCTTGGTAAGCAGGCTGGAAAATTTTGCCTTATGCACACTTCAGCATGGTTACCAGGATGAAAGCGGGTTAATTTGGCAGCCCGGATGACATCGTCTTGGTTTGCCTGCTTTATTTTCCACATCATAAGCATCCTATTCAGCCATTAGAGTTGCCAAAGCTATGACAGGCTGGAGAGTTATACAAGTAAATTTTTGTTTTGCCATGTTTACTTTTTTTCTTGAATTTGTGCCAGAAGTTGTCCCCAGGATGTTTGGCCTTTTCTTAACTCGGATCCTGGGCTTAAATTTCTCATAGGAACCCAAGGCATAATTCATCCCAGTAAGCGGGCCATTGTGTTATACTGGGCTCATGTAAAGAGGCCCTTAATTTGCTTTTTTTGGTATCACAAGGGTCACATCACCTAATCAAGTTCTTCTTTCTGTATGTTGTAATATTCCTTTGAACAAGGGCTATAAGAAATGAAAAGGCCAAGAAGTCTTACATACCCTGTTCAGTGGTCTCTGCATCTGCAGATCTTTCAGCTTCAGCCCGAGCTGTAGACACCCCTACACCATTTCCTTGTAACTGGCAAACCTAAAGAAAATTCACCACAATTCAAAAAATAATCATATATTTATTATACAATAATATTATATTCCCATGGTTTGACTCTGTATGATGGAATGGTGTCTACAAGAACACATCTTGTTTGATCAATGTTAACAAACGTACCAAATGTCTTGTATGAGGAAAGTTCTTGGAAGGGCGAAGAGAGAACATACAGTGTCGAGTTGATGGTTCAAATGACAGACTTGTACAGGATCCTGGAATAAACACAAAATCATTTTCAAAATCAAAATTACTTACATGTGTATTATCACTTTCACTGTATTCAGTGTTTAGGTAGGTAAACCTTCCCTTTTTCAGGGGATGGTTATTTTCAGAGAGGGATCGCTACTTTCATGATTTCCAAACACCTGTGAAATTTTATTGTTTCTTTCAGAAGGTCACTTCTTTTGAGCAGTTGTTATGGTACTTTCAGCTTTTTATGGATCCACCTGTCCTGAACAATGAATGGAATGTATGAATGTAATCATACCCAAATAAGTTCTAGACCTGAACAATTGACATTTGCATGCTTTGAACCCTCTGGATATTAAAAAAAGAAAGAGCTCAGGTGAAGTGTCAACAAAGAACCATAGCAAAAGTGAAATAAACAAGGTTTACATTTATTTTGAAACTGTACAAGAGAAAAGACAATGTGACAGGTTTAAATACCCTGACACTACAACCAATTAGATTTTGACAAAGTGTAGTCTACACATAGTGCATATCATGCACTATGTACATGTCCTAAAATTATTCATACAAAAAAGCTGAACTGTTACATTGATTAAGACCGTGCTAAAACCTTCAATCTGCTTTCTAAGTACCTTCAGGCAGTGTCAGTTGATGTGGTAGGTAATCAGCTCCAGTGGTTTTTTCCCAGAATGACGCACCCTCCAACTTGCACACAAGTATTCCTCCGGGCCTACAAGGAGATAGAGTGGACAATACAGAACCTAAACAAATGGTTCCACAACAGCAACCAAGACCACAATACAATATATTGTATAATTTAATAGGTCTTTTCATGCAATCTTCAATCGCAAAAATCAAATTGGGGAAAAGATAGTTGCAATGAGTTTATTCGATACAACAAACAGTAACCGTCACATTAATTAAGGGAAACCTTGGTAATAGTCACAGTGTTGAAACTTATTTTGCTTTAAACATGATTCTACAGTGTATCTCTCCATGGCAGAAACCGAGTTCTTGCCATAACTGGGAGATTTCTTGCAAGCTTATTAGTCGTGAGCTATGTTTGATAAGAGTACAGGCCATGGAAATGATGTGATGATAGGGCAAATTGTTTTTCTCTTTCTGGCGTGCATGATTTTCCAAGAAACTTACACAGAAATGGACATGAAAACTGCCAATCATTTGTTATTTCAAAAAACAAATCAACAACAATTCTCCATGGTCTGTACTCTTACAGACCATAGAAATTATATAAAAATGTTCAAAACATTGCAGTGAAACCACTCACAGTTTCACTTGGGTTGTGAACATTTTGACATCATTTCTATGGTCAATAAGAAGACAGACCATGGAAAATTGTTGTTGATTTGTTAAAATAACATGAATTTTTCTTTGCTACAGTGTTAATAGTATTTAATAGTTACACAGTGACATTACCTTAGATCACCATTTGGGTCAGGTGACACATGAGCGACAGAGATGACAGGACAGGAGCCTCCAGTTGCATTCTGAAGACTCTTTAGATAGGTGTCTGTATTTCTGACATCAAATATCAAACAAGTGCCATTCTGCAGGCCACAGTGGATATAATTGGTATCATAATCATTCCAGGCACAAGACCAGACTGGGGCTGGTGTGTTATAACTAAAATTGAGCAAACATTGATCATTAGTTCTCGTTATTGTAAATCAATGATTAAATGGTTAACCCTTTAAGCCCTAAGAGTGATCAGCATCAAATTTCTCCTTGTAATATCAATGCTTTGTAAAAAAAAAAGTGGTCATGAGAATTACAGACATGATCACACAAGATGAATTTGCTCGATATTTTATCAACTTCTCCCTACGACTTCTGTAGGAAATGAATAGGGGCAACAAACGAGAATTCAAATGTTGATCTTTGGGTTTAAAGGGTTAATAGAAATCATTAACCAATATTATTTGAAGATATCCATCTGATCAAAACAAAACAAGGACAATTAGCTACCGGTATTACTGATATTATTATTACTGACCTGTATAGAGAGGAGAAGTGTGACGTCACATTACCACAGTAGCATTATTTCTCTATGTCAACAAACCCAACAACAATGGCGATGGCAAGGAGAACGGCAAAAAATAATGTTTATATAATATATTTAGCAAACAACAACTTAATTTGCACTTGCATCACGCTATTTTGTACATTTTTTTGCCGTTGTTGGAGCACTATGACATGAAACTTCCTAATTTCACGAGCCCGCTTTATTGAGTAGGTGAACACAACAAAAAAATTGTTGCTTTCTTTTTCTAAACTTAGATGATGATAGATACAGTCCCAAAGAAAATTTCGCCAAGATTTGCCAAATTAAATGAAACTGAATAAGATCGGTGAAGTTTGAAATAGTGCAAAGAGACTATTAATATAAAGTGACTTTATCGGTTTGTTGTCATCCAAAAATTTTGCTACCATGGCAACGTGACATAACGACTTCTCCTATCTATTAAGGATCTTCAAATTTTAAACTTGAATGTACAATGTAACCGCAAATGATAAATTGCTGCACTGTGCATCCCAGTAAGGACCTTACAACAATGGCGTCACTATAATGATGATGATGATGACGATGATGATGAATTTTATTTACATGTCAAGAGTATTTAGCTAATGAAGCTAATTGGAGACACTAGATATAAATATTAAAAAACTGAAAATTATATTTTAATTTATATTTATAAGTAAAAAATTATATATATAGCTAAAATTAATAATTTACAGTAAAACTATAACAACCTAGGAACTACGTACTTAATAACATTAATCATTAATATAACAATGAGTTAAAGCTTTCACGAAAGCCAAGCCTGAAATGTCACTAAAAACACACTTCACTTCCTTTCAATTTTTTTTTTTTGTCAGTTTTCCATGCCACCCATTTACCTAGAAGAAGGGAAATTAGGTTGGAGCTGAAAGGAGAGGACTGTGTCTTAAAAGATTTGGTCATTGTGCAGGGATGCACAAAAGCATGATGCACATGCAGTTGTTGTCTTGCTTCATAAGCCTTAAATTGTGTTTTAGGAGTTACCATCATAATAGCTACATTATACAATCATGTAGTTTAATGAAGATGAAAGTAAAGCACAATTCTTCCTAACTTACGTCTGTACAACAGCGTTACTTAGCATACTTGTGACTCTGACAGTCTTGTCCATTCCAGCTGTCAGCAGTAAGCCATCACCACGGCAACTAAATGCCACATCACGCAGAGGCTTCTGGTGAATACGTACAAACTCACAATGTTTGGAGTCCAAAGAGCTCACCTGAATTGGACAGAAATACAGGTATTTTCTTGAAAATTTGCTCAGTCAGAAAAATGCTTGACTGCAGCATAAAGTACGTTACAAAGCAAACCTTTATATGCAGATATTGCAAGCCTACAAATTTGAGAGAGACATAATGATATTTTTGGAGGCTAATATTTAACTTTACCTTTACAATGCCGTAGCCAGGAAAAAGATTGTTGGGTGACGGTTTTGATACCACCAACATGGCATGATGTCTGTCAAATGCAAGCACTCTTAAACCATTCTGTAAAGGGAAATTATTTAAAATTTTTTGCATTTTAATATTGCTTGTATGTGGAACTCTTCATTCAGATGCAACAACTGTGTAGACTTGCAGGGCTATATGACCTATACTAGTCTTAATAATAATAAAACGGAACTTTTTGAGAAAATTATTTTTTAAAAACAAAACAGAAATCAGTTTTAAAAAATACAGAACCAAGTTTGTCACGTCAAAAGAAGTTGAAGTCTACCAATAATGAGCTCAATCCTGCAAAAATTGAAAATCAAACCAAAAAGTATGTGCCATTCATTATTCATGAATTAGGACTACGCATAGGAGACAAAGGAAGCACAGAATCAACCTAGGTTAAAAAAATTTTGAACTGTCACACAATCTTATAAATTTTTCTTAAAAAGGTAGCATATTCATTCATAGCATACAGTGAACCTATCAAAACAAGTACACTGTACCTGTGCAATTTGAAAGGAGGTTTGAAGGATATAAGAGTTCTGCGATAGTGAGCTCTGACTTGCAGTGCTCTGACCATATGTTCTTATACCACCTGATGCTCCTTCAGTTTCAGAATTGCATCTACTGCACAGCAGTGACCTGTATAGAGTTTGAAGTCAAAAGTAAAAGCAAAGACAATCAATTTCAATGAAATTTGTAGCTTTTAGAAGGTTTTTGTTCACAGACTCAAGTTAGAGTCACATAGATGCACTGGGGTTTGTAACCCTATACCTCTCAATCTTTCTTGAGGTGAGGGTTAAGGTGTAAAACAATGTAGTTTGCCTTCAGCCAAAAAAAGGAAAATGTTAATTACAAAGATATTTTTACAACAGCCTGTACACTCAGAAGTTTAACATTGTCAGCAGGCCTTTTGGCAACCAACTGAAGAAATATAGTCACCAGATGAAAATTTTTAGTCGCCAGTTTGTATAATTTAAATGACACGTCTCATAGTACAGTGTATGGCGCTATCCACCAGATTTGTTTGTTTGAAAATATCACGGACAAAAGTTGGTATAAATTTCGAGGTAAAGTGGCTTTGTTTATGCAATTTGGCGCATTTTTTATAACAAAAGCAAAGCAAAATAAGATGAAATGTTTGTTTTAACTACACTCTTAAAATCTAAACCTAGATCATAGAGAAATCTGGTTGCCAAAGAGACAACTAAACCAGTATTTAAAGTTGCCAAGGAGAAAATGTCAGTCGCATTCAGGTGACTGTATTAGTCGCAATTTTGAGCCCTGGTCAGTAAAATACAGTCACCTACATGTAGGTCATACTGAAAAAAAATATTACAATGTCATTTCTTGCCTTTGTGTCTGTAAATTTAAAACCAGTTGCTCTTGTTTCCTAAGCTGAGTTGTTATTCTTTCGCACTCTGATTTAGCCAACTGATATTGCAAGAGAGCTCGAGCTTCCCTTTCCTCTGCTTTCTGACGAGCATCTTTCTCTTTCTCCAAATCTGCAAGTGCCCTGTCACGTTCAGTTGTATCTATAGACTTTATTGCTTTGGTGTAAATGTTTCTGATGTCTTTTTTCTTTGCTGGTGCATTACACTGTGGACATTTGTCATTTCCGCCTTTTGCCTTTAACCATCTTTCAATACAACTGTTGAAAAGATATGAGGCAATTAGCATTTTAATACCAACTGACGGCTTCACAGTCTCCTCAGGTCAAACATACTCCCATACACTGTGTTCACTAATAATATAATAATATAAATAAATTATCACGTGACAATTGAATCCATTAGTGATTGCTCTGCAAACTACACTGCACGTTTGGGAGGCCACTGGGTCAAAACAATATTATAATAAATCAACTTTGTTCCAATACAAGTAAGAGGGGGGCCTATAATAATTATTATCTGGAGGGTGCTCATTATCAGATATAACTAGGGGGCCTATATGCAGTAGGTTTAGGTATATTTTCCATGGTTGAGCTATATGCGTTGAGTGTTCCTTTCAGCTGACTGTTTTCAGCAGCCAGCCTAACTCGACTAAAGGTAAACAAACTACGACTGGACTATTTCGATAGCAGGTTCCACGTTTTCATTATCCAGTTTGTGTGTATTTTCCAGCAGGCTTGTTTCATACAGAATCATAAGAAAGAATATTTTTGCCCACTGATCTCATCTTGCAAATCGACCCCGATAGTCCTGATATCCTGCAGCATAAAACTATGTTGATCCCTGGATTCAGCTCAAACCTAGAATCCATAGGTGAACTACCCAAGTACATCAAAATTGCTTGATAAAAACTGAATAACTACTGACTGGAGCATTTTACTCCCAGGGGGAGGGCGGTACTTCCTTTTATAAGCCAAATAGGTATGTGCTGCCCTAAAGGGTAGGGGGTTTTGTGCCATTTTGGTCTGAAAACAAGAATAGATTTTGCCCATTTTGGTCTGTAATCAGGTATGGTTTATGAAGGAACTACGGTTGTGTATCAATGCGTTTGTTGTTTCAATTCTAAATATATAAGAAAGAAAGAGTGATATAGGAATTTGAAATGAATTCTTTTTTAGAAATCTTTTTTTTTTTTACAGTTTTAATCCCAGCAATGATGACATAATTTCTCTTCCACGTATACATATAATGATGCGTTTTGTGCCCACCTCTAGGTCGGTAAACAGGTATGCATTTTAGAGGCTATGTCTGCAAATGGGTGTGGAAAATATCCTTTTTTGGTCTTAAATAGGGTCAGGATTTGGAGGACCAGGCAGCACACCCCCACCAAGAACCAAGAATTCCCAGGAGTACCCCCTCCCCCAGGATTTTACTCCATCATCTACTCACTGGAAAATTTACTCCTACCAGTTCTTTGGGTTATCATGAATTTCTGTCTTTCTCAGTAGTTAACATAATGAGAAAATGGCAAAAACAAAATGTGAGAAATGTGTTTCCTAAGTACAATTTTTGTAACTTTAAAGTCAAGCAAATAGTTTAGATTTAGGTGGAGTGAATTACCGTTTTACCACCCGGTAAGCAAGCTCTTGTGATGGAGTGTTGCACCATTTTCTTGTCTCGGTTTCACATTGGCTCTCATGGAAGAGAGTGTTGAGCCAGCAGTGAGATTAAAGGTATTGTGGCCAGAACAAAATTCCATATGATTAGTCTATAACATTGTTTTCGTGCTGTTCAACACTGGAGGGAGCCACCTCAGCCTGCTTACTACATTCCACCAACCGGGGCTATTTTTTCTTGAGTTAGATTGCCTGATATTTTGCATGTCACCTTTATAGACTGATTTTTACCCTCATGTTCAACAATCTTAAAAGTATTTACCTTCTTCCAAACAAATGTCCACAGCTAAGTGAGGAGAGTCTGTGTGAACCTGAGTTTGACCAAGGTTCAAAACAAATTGGACAACACTGCGACTAATAAAAGGAAAAGCATGATTAGTATTTCCTTAATGATGAATAGGTGCATGCATTGAGCTTCTCCTGCTTTTTCATAAGCAAACATAAGACAGTTTAGAGAGAGAAACTACAACTTTATCAGAAGTCATGGACTCTGGGCTTCTGCAACCCTCCATTTAGGCTCGGACAGGAAGAGATAAATGTACTTAAATTCTCTGAGTGTTTGACAACAACAAATGGCTCCTACTAAACTTACATCGTCGTCTTTCTCGGGTGATTTTAGAGGTGACTTTATAGCCTTTGAAGACCTTGTCTTAGAAGATTTTGAAGCCTTGTTTTGAAATTCATCAGGAGAATTCACCGGTAAACTCTCCAAGACTTGAACAGTTCTTCCAACCACAGGAGTTGCATTTTGTTGTAGCACCTGCACGTGAACGTCATCTCTCACTGGCTGTGTGCTTGTGTTTTCTGCCTGATTCAGAGTTTGCTGTTCGTTGTTCGTCTCTATTTCCATGTCTTGCACTTCATCACTGGTGCCTCTTGTTAAATCCACAACATTACGGACACTTTCGCTCCGATGATCTCTGTTTTCCTGAATTACTTCATTTCCATTTTGTATAAGGGTTGCCATCAGGTTTTCTCTATCGATACTGAGTTGCTAAATTATTATATAATTCCGATTAAATGTTCGAATATTCAAAACCTCCTCTGAGTTTCACAGTACGCGCCATTTTACGTGATCATACAAGAGCATGCTCAGTTATGAGTAGATCCAGTCACTCTCGGTCGGACAGCTTCTATTCAGACCCGGGTTGCTCGAAGAATGGTTAGTGCTAACCAGCGTTAAATACCATGGAAACCTATACATTTTGATACCTCTTAACCAACGGTTAGCGCTAACCAGGCTTCGAGCAACCGGCCCCTGGTCTGTTAAAGGACCAAAGAGAGGTAAAGCACTCGACCGCTGGGAAAAAGAAAAAAAAATCTCTGTTAAGGGATTTATTCAAGGTTAGGAGACGTTTCATTTAGAGCTGTCAAAAGGGATACAGCGTTCGGAAACGGCAAATTAAAAGAGAATACCTTTTCTGCCAACATAATGGTAATACAATAAAAATGGTATGTGTAGCCTGCGTAGCAGGCGTCGAAAGGGGTAGGGGTAGGGGATAGGGAGGAAGGGAAAAAGGGGAGGGGGATTGGGGATTCCCTTTCCCTTTCTCCCTCCCCCCTCCCCCTCCCCTTTTTGCGCCTGCCACGCAGGCTAGGTATGTGACCCTACCTCAGCTTAGGGTGGAGCCTATGTTGACCCCTGAATTAAACTCAAACCTAGAACCACTGTGGGTTAGATGAAGTCGGTACGTCCATAATGATTGTTTGATAAAAACTGAATAAAGCACACTGAAATAAAGTGTCTCTTGATTTCACAGTTTCTAAGCGTTTACACTCGGGGACAGTTGAGACGTTGTATGAGAAGTAAAACTGAGGTCTGTAAAGGCAAAATATCATTATATTTTACCAAATTTTCTATAAAATAAATAAAGGAGACATACCTTTGATGTCTTCTTGTGTTTTTTGGTGTGAATTTATCGATTGGGCGACTTTTTTGGCTTTATTGTGTGACCAAGGGGGTGGGCGCGGGGAAGGCAAATGCCCGACCAAACGCAAAATTGGCTAATGCCCCACGCCAGGCCAGGGACTGACAAGGTAGGCAAATGCCCCGCAGTGGCCCGGGGGGCGGGGGGGGGGGGACCTGGGCGCAGTTGGATTCAACTGAAGCATTATGTTCGGATTCAACCCAAGAAAATTTCGCCAACAAATTAAGTGGAATTGAATAGGATCGATGAAGTTTGAAAAGAAGCGAATTCATTTCGTAGTGACTTTTTTTGGTTTGTTTCATCCAAAATTTTTGCTACCATGGCAACGTGACGTAATGGCTTCTCCTCTCTAGCCACACTTAAATTCTGGGACACTTTTTAAACATATGAAAACCAACAAATCGCTCAAGTTTAAATTCTAATGTGAGAGGAGGTAATCTGTTTAAAATCTACAGCCTTCAACTCAGTCGAATAAAACCCTTTTTATTTCTATAAGTATTCTAATTCATATTAAGACAATAATTGAAAATAAATAACTCTAATTTCCCGGTACCTCTCCACCCTAAGCAACAGAAATGTCCACATATCAAATGGGGAACTCGTCACAAAGCCCTTTAAAACAAGAGCAAAACCTGACTTCCTGGGCTTTATACTCCAGAAATCTGCATTAAGCATTCAAAATTTTCAAGCCTCTTGGCTATCATTGGACACGTGAGGGGAGGGGGTGGAAGACTCCACTGGGTCCTTTTGGTGGGGATGTGCCACCCAACCCTGTTGTGATTTTTGATCAATATCTGGAACGCACGAAAGGTCAATATATCCGCAAATGTTATCTAGAACAAGATTTATTATTTTGAGCGCAAAATCGCTCTAAAACGGGGCCCAAATTTGAAGGATAGGACAGCACAAACCCACCCAAAATCTACCGGAATACTCCGTGGAAACGACTACCACTTTGCTACTTCCAATCTTGTAATCTAATTGCCCTAACTAGTGTTTTATTAACACCAGTCTCATACCCAGGCCAGTTCGCGCTATCCGAGTTACTAGAGGAGGCTCGGAACCGAGTGTAATAAGCGAATTTTCCGGACAAGCTTGACAGGTGACGTCGCATCCGAAATCGCCGAGGACGACGAATAATAAAATAACGCCCTTCAGTTTTTTTGATACCTTTGCAATGTCTCCCACCACCCCCATGCGATGGAAGGGGCTGGAGTGAGTGTAATAAGACTAAGTTTCCGGCAATGTGGGCCGGTTGGGTACGCACTGAAAACTCTCGGGGAGCTCAAATAAAAAATTATCCCCCTTGTGTTTTTTTTTATCCTTTTGAGTTTCGACCCCCCCCCCCCCCCCCCCCAACCATTCAATAAGCTTGCAAAATGACCTGACAATTAACCAAGCTTTCAACTTTGCAATAGTTCTTTAGACTATGGATCACTATGAACACACTAGGTTAAATAAATAGTTATCTCTTGAAAAAATTGTACGCTAATTTAAAAGATACTATAGCTCTACTAACCCCTGCGTCCCCAATTCGCCAGGCAAAAATTTACTCTTACGCTAGCTCGCAGGCTAGAATTGAGCTACTGAAATGATTTCCTAGACAAGACTCAGCTGTTTCACGTCTGTTACACTTATAAATAATGTGCACGATTAAAAACGAAATTGCAAAAGACTGTTTAAAATGCATCGAGCAGGTACGTATCATATAAAATTAGAATAAAAAAGATGAAAACAAACAAGAACATAAATTAAACGCTTCGATTAAACGACACTAAAATGTTAGCCTTTCTACTATGGCTTGAAATTTAGCATAATAAGAGAAAACTAAAGCCAGGGTTAAACGTCGAACTTCACTTGCAATGAAACTTATACCAGTGAGTAAATTCTATTAAAACAAAACTGAATGCTGGCACTACGGCAGTGCCCTGCATTCAGATTTGTTTTGTTGTACATTTTACTGACGTCTGGCTACAGTATCTCTTTAATTAGAGATCCGGGGAGAGAAACCAGTCACTTGAGATATATTTAGGCGTTGCGTGGGTCTCTGCATTCAAACAGTTTTCCTAAATTCTAATGCTCTCGCTCATTAGGTTCGTCCCACGTGAGGTTCGATATTTGATCCTGGCCTGAGGCTATGTTCACAGGATACTGCCGACACGAAAAGCTAATCCAGTATAGTATGAACAGCGACGGCACACAACTGGAACGAGGCGTTCGCTTTGCCTAGTCGCTACTGTGGGCCTCATTATTTCGCGCGGCCAATGCGTTTCGGGCCACGTGGTCCAAGCGAAGAAGTGAGGGTGTTTCCAGACTTTCCAGCCCCCTTCGCCTCGGATACGTCACCGAGGTGAATTCACTCAGAGGGCCTGGGAAAAGACCATAGAAGGACTAGGCAATCGTTCACACACATCAAACATCGCGCCTGAGCGGTTGGCCGTGCCGTGAGGGTTTAGTGAACTAAATCCCAGTCCTAACTACTGAATATTTACTTCGGTGTCAGTGGATTCCAGTCCTCGCTCCTACTTATTGTAAATGTGCAAATATCATATTATCCACTCTCCTCTGGGCTTTTCAGGGATAATTTACAACACTGGTTGGAGGACTTTGCCAGACTGCTTAAGGTGCAGTTTACAAGTAATGAAGGAATGAGTAATGATGCCCCCATACATGAGTGTGAAAGTGAGATAGACCAATACACCGGGCACTACGTGCCCTACTCTTTACGAAGACTGTGTGGGTTCTTTAACGTCCCACAGATTTTTTTATCACATGTGCAAGGGCTTGTAAGACGGGGCCTACGGTTTATCGTCCTTATCCGAGAAGACTAGAAAGTCAAACCGTTTGCAGATGTTATTAAAAAGGCAGCACTTTCTCCTCAGTTATTTAAAGACCCTGAGTGTTGGTCCAACCGGGGTTTGAACCTACGGCCTCCCGCTCAGCAGACCGGCGCTAACTGGGCGGCGGCTACGGTCCAAATACCTGTTCACACTGCACCAAAGTGTGTCACTGAAACTATCGATATGTGATGCTCCTCTTTCGAGATCAGCGCGGCGCAGCTTCGCTCCGTTGTAGATAACGCACTGAAATCACCGTTATCAGGGGCGGATCCAGGTTTTTTTTAGGAGGGGGTGCACTCGTCTCAATAAACCACTTTTTTTTTTCGCAGAATACCAGTTGTATTAGAAAACCGCAGGTCATCTCAGTGGGCGGGTGCGCACCCCTTGCACCCTCCCCCTAGATCCGCCCCTGGTTGTTATGTATGAACAGAAGCCCTATCCGGTATAGTCTTCGTGCCGGGGGGTGTAAGAGGTATCCGGTATGGTGTGAACATAGCCTAAATTATGAACGTTGACTCCCAATATTAAAGGTTATGGTCTTGCGGTTACTGAAAAGGTTTTCTTCATTGTTCGTATGGGACTAGGTGGGACTCGGATCTGTTTCTTTTTGTCACCATCAAAGGGCCGCGAGACAGTTTGCCCTTCCTTAAAATTTTTTAACCGTTATGAATAACTTACCTAAATTGTAATAAATAGGCAACTTTAGTAACATTAAACTAAACCATAGTCTCTCTGTTCGGGTCCAAAGAGTGAATCCACACGTCGTCTGAATCCCTAAAATAGTCACTAAAATATCCCAAAAGGCAGTCTTGTTGATTTACGAGTTTAGGCATAGAAAAGTATTTTTCTCGCACATATCCTACAGTTGATGTATCCGGTTTTTCTTTGACAACCTCCAATTCAACATGATCTTTTACCGACCAAACGGTAAGATCTTTCTTTTCATAGCTCTCCACCCCTTTGCCAGACTCCGAAACTTTCCTATCATTAGCTTCCGACTCAGAAGAGAACGATCCGGAATCCAAAGTCAATGATTTTATTGCTTGACTTGAGGTAGAGGATGGGATACGCACCCGATAACCTTTTCTACGCATGCGCCACTCCTGAGCAATTTCAGGAGGAAGTAGAAAAGGAATCAGAAACAAAAGACATACTCCAAGTGTAGTGAAGGCGCCGGACATGTAAAACGCAGGAACGTACGACTGGAGAATAGGATACATCCATCCTAAAATAGGTATAATAAACAAATAAAAAATAATGAAAAAAATAGACAGGGAAAAAAGTTGGACGCGGCGGATTTTTTCTAATCACAAAGCACATGTTTGGAAATTTAAAACTCACACTCATCACAAAGGTCTCTATTCGTCCCTTCCCCCAGGGCTATATTAAATTTTTGTGCGTCGTACCCTTTTTTTACACATCATCAACAAAACAGTAAAACTGTAATGAAATGTGAACGTAAAGCAGAAGACATACCAGAGAATATATGCATGTCATATTAATTAATTTTCCTATAAGAAACCGACGAAAAGATTGAAACAAAAATAAATATCATTCAAGGGTGGCATGTGTATTCATTTCTGTCGCTTGTTTCGCCACTTAGTTGTTAATCGCGCGTTTGCAGGTCATTATTAGTGTCAACTTACTGAGAGTTGCTATTACTACCATCGTGGTTGCTAGGGATTGGTGTATCACGAACCTCACTCATGGTTGGTGGCAGCCTAGTCCCTAGGCGTTCTCTGCCGGGTCAATCCTGGACTCTATCGTGAGATGTAGCGTCACCGAGAGAGACTCGCTGCCCGCTCTTTCCCAGACTTCGCGCAGGCAACGAGGCAAGAGAGAACGCCTGGGCAATATGCTGAGTTAGTGGGTTTCGTTTTTTAGCAACAGGACGGGAACGTCAGATGACGACGGGAAAGCGCGCGGAAAAGACTCAACACGACTTCCGGTGCTCAATTTGCCGCTCTGCCATTGGTCAAGCCAGTTGTTTGATTTGCGCGCGCCGTCGTCAAGTGAAGTTCCCGTTCTGTTGCTAAATCAGCCTATTGTTGGCGTTAATAGAGGACGCAGCACCTCCTGATAAAGACCTGCAGAACGTAGTCCAAACGTAGTGATCAACACCTAAGTGACTATTGTCAGACAAACGATAAACAAGCACTATATTTGAGTGTCAATGTATTTAGCACGAAAGTACTAATTGTAAACAAAAAGAATTTAAACTGAATTTGGTTTTTAAGCTTTCATATCTGATGGCACTAACCCTTGATTATCGTAACCCTGCTTTGAACAACCAGGCCTTGAGTATCGAACCCGCGACCTCAACTTAGCAGTCAAGCGTTCTATCGACCGTAGTAAAAAACAAACTCTTTTTTAAAAAATAAGTAAGTAAAAGAATGACCCATGCCATTTGCTATGGCTCCTCTTGAGAGAAGAGTCTCAGTGTGACTATGATTGGATCACCCCTGGCTGAAATAAGTTTAGTTGTCAGCTGCACCCACAATGCAACACTTACCAGCTATTGGTGCTCCTAGCATCATTGGAATGCCAGTAATGCAATACATGATCCCATAGGCTGAAGCCATCTTTCTCCTTCCGACGACATCTCCTATTAATACGGCTACAAGAACGACAAAGCCGCCATCGTGGATGCCAAATACTATACAATAGGCTAACAGGGATTTATAGGAGGTCAAAATAGGAAGAAGAGTGGTAAGAACGCTACAGACCAACATGCACATCTGATACAGATAAATTCGGTTCACACGTGGATGATCAGCAATTCGGCCATAGAAAATCTTTCCAATTGTTTCAGACATTGCAATGATGCCGACTAGAACTGCACCGTCCTCTTTGTGGATGCCAAGGTCTTGTCCGTGTCTTACCTGCATGAGACAAAAGGGGTGAACGAGGAAAATGTGAGCAAGTAATGCTAGAGCAAGTTGTTCAAAAACTTGCGAGACTTCTAGCGAAACCACCTCCTTAAAATAACAAAGTTAAAGCCAATAGAACACTTGTTCTTTTGAACTATCGTAAACTCCGCGTTATAAGCCCTGGGCTTACACAGCTTCGCAGGGAGTTTTAAGAGAACTTCTAAATAGAGGGGCTTATATCCCAGGGGGCTGATAACTGAATAGAAAAAGCGCTTTCAAACATGCTCTAGCAATGATGATAGCAATTAAGATTCAAAACTTCATAATGTACACTTATATAGTAATAAACCTAATAAAATATTACAATAACTTAATTGTTAAAAAATAAATAAATAAACAAAAATAATAAATGAATCATAATAACAAAAAACAAACATGAAATAACAACAAAAAATTCTTTTCACTACAAGGTCCTCAAGCTAGGGGGGGGGGGGGCTTATATCCACGGGGGGCTTTTAATCGAATGGGTTTTATGTTTTCCGGGTTGTTGGGCCTAAAGCGGGGGGGGGGGGGGGGGCCTTAGAGGGGCAATTTCGTTACTTTTGTTTCTGTTTCATAAAAAGGATTAAATAAATAACAATAACACAGAAAAAGTAATTGAACGAGTAAGATCAACAGTGAACATGGATACAGTAATGGGACGAGTCTGTTTGAGTGCGAGGTGGGTGTGAGTGGGTGGGGGGGTGGTTGTTTTCGCGGGGGGGCTTATAAGCGGGGGTGTGTTTTGGGCTAGGGGTGTGTAGGTGATGTGGGGGGGGGGGGGGACGGCGCTATAGACGGCAATTTACGTTACTTTGCTCTCTGTTACTAAAAAGGAATTCTACAGAAAAAAATATACATCTGATCAAACTTTCAAAATCTAAGGCTATGCAGTTAATAAAATAATAACGACAATAATAAAATAAGTAGGCGTTTGCCGTTTTAGAAAAAATGCTAGGCATGCAATCGATTTCTAGAAAATGTCTCATGTGTTCGCGTGCCTTTCTCTTACACATCATCCCTACTATCTGATCACCTCAGAGCAGCCAACCGCTGAACTTCAGTATTTCTCTGATGGAATACTCCGTGAATCAAGGCGCCGCATACATATCTACTAGCGTCCCACGCAGACATTCTAAGGGCTTCGTCATGATTTCCTACCGTGTGTAATGCCCTAAAAACGTTTGCGTGAGGGGCTAACTAACAGCTACTAAACACCGCTGACTAGAGAATAAACTTACCAAATGAACGTATGGTATATAAAATCCAAATAACACCAATCCATCAACAGCAATCAACAGAACATAAGCCTTGTTCTTAAATAACGAGAAGTCAAAACATTTTTTTTCTTCTTGGTAGTCCTCAGCATCGACAAATTCCAGCGGCGAAGGTACCAAATAATAAATAAATGCACAGCACAGTAGCACAAGTGACGCTCCACTGAGAATACGAACTGCATCACGCCAGTTATAATTGTCCAGAAGAAGGCTCAATGCGGGCGCAAGTGATATGGTTCCCACGCCCGCTCCAGCCAGAGCGATTCCATTGGCAACAACTAAATTTTTGTTAAAGTATTCGCCAAGTACCAAAATTGAAGCTATGTAGCACATGCTAGATCCTAGGCCGAATATCAACGAATATGTGACATACATGAGGAAAATCGTATCGACGAAAGAGGAAACAAAAATGCCAATTCCGATCATTATTCCACCGACTGCCATGACTACTTTGCAACCAAGTCTTTTGCACAGCAAGCTACTCAGAGGTGCCAGGAGAAAAGTGACGCCGAATGCAATGGAAGCAACCCATGCTGTTGAAAAAATGCAATTGCAAATCCGGAAATGTCAAGGGATAATAATGAGGACACCAAGCTAACGGGGTCTCAGGACCCGGTTTAATGGAGAAAACTTGTCCCGGGTAAAAAGGTCACTCAGGTTTCCAAGCTACCCTAGCCTGCATAACAGGCGCTTTATGAGTAATCCAGGCTAAGCTACCCTGGGTGACACAACGTTTCCTTCATTTCCTTACAAACGTTGGCGAGCCGTTTTCATGAAATACACAAAGTTAACTAGGCTAGAAGTTCACTCTTTTTAGCTCGAAAGTCGGATGACCCTAATAATTTTGGTCCACCCGGTCGGGTCACCTCGGTCAAGGCAAGACAACCACAGCGCGCGAGAACGCTGTTGGCTCGGGTAAAGGGGTCAACCCTTTTTTTCATATGCACCGCTCGCAGAAGTTGACTCGGATGAGAGGGTGACCCTGTTTTCCGGGACAACGTTTCCCCATATAAACGGGACTTCGGATAAACCATAACCTAAGCCTGACGGCAAAAAATTTAGTTAGTTGTCAGAATACTTAAAAAATAATCGTTTTGAAAGTGTCACAGTCGCTTTTTTGACACTCTCCTAACTCGTTGATAATAGCTCAAAGTATCAGTGAAATTATATCTTTACTTTGTTCCGCAATTTCTTTAACCGGACGGCTAAACCCGGCTCTTGGAGTTACAATACGCTAATGTTGGGTTTCGACTGCATTTGTCAAGGCTCTGTTATTGTAAACCTTACAATCAGGCAAACCTAAATTCATCATTACATGGCTTAAGTAAAAACAATCTAAATTGTAAATTGTACATTGGACTATCGGTTGGCTACAAACAGGCGTGGCCGAGGGGTGGAGCTGGCGATTCAGTTGACCAAACAGCTACTGCTATTAAAGAGGGAAATTTACGGTGAGTGTCAGAGCGAACCACTAGGCTCTACCTCCAAACTAAAATTTTTCCGTTTGGAGTGCTAGTCCTGCGTGCGAGGTAATAATTTCCAGTCTTCGCTATTCGATAATGCAGATGCATCACATGGATATAAGATACTGACCCATAACTTTTCATTGAGGACCACGAATAAAGGCAGAAACAAAAATTTGGAAATAAACATAGCAAGGTTAAAAATCAGAACTAGCCAGAAGCAAACCAGTTGGCTATTTTCAAGCGTGGCCGAGGAGTTTCACTCGAGAAAACCGAGAAAAAATCCAGCCAGCGGCTATGGCGGGCAGTGAACTAGGGGGCCCAACTACGCTGCAACTCATTCTCACCTGTGGTGGCCTTGCTTTGTCCAAACTCGTTTAACAGATCAATGTACAAAAGGCCGAAAACGAAGTGTATTCCCAGAACGGCAAACTGTGACATGAATGATCCAAAAACAACCAACCAACTTAGACCACCGTCGAGGGTCCCTTGCATTCGAATTCTCCGCTTTGCCGCCATGTTGCCTTTTGTCTCTTTACCTGGTCATGTAAAAGACACATCAATAAGGATCGGAAGCAAAGAATCACAAAAGAAAGCATGGCCATTTTCAACTAGAGACGTTAAAGTCATCTAGACGTATAATAATAATAATAATAATAATAATAATATGAACCAACAGTGCTTTACAACAGTGAATGATAAAGAAAACTAAGTACCATAGAAAAGCCTGAAAAAACGTAATAATTAATGATTCTTACAATAAAGTAAACTCTAAAAAAGTACGTCTGAAGAGTGGATTTAAAAGATTCTGCTGACTTGAACATTTTATACTTAATGGGAGGGTATTCCATAGTTTTGGGGCAATAAAGGAGGAAGCTCGCTTCCCATATGTTTTAGGATGGCAGCGGAGCTGTACCAGAGTAGTTCTTTATCAGAAAAACGCAACGATTCGACAGGTGTAAAATCGGGACGCATAAAACTAGACGATAACATTGAAAAAGGGTTTTCTGAAAAAAAATACATATACACAACACCGTGACTGACTCTTCCCAGTCTTCTCTGGACGAATTGGGCAGAAACGCGTTCCAATTTACGGCGTCCCGTTTTTATACTAGACGCATTTTACGTCTGAGACGTTAAAGTCGTTTGTTAAGTGAGTCTGAAAGACGCACTTAATGTCGTCGGACGTTAAATGCGTTTGTTTGATTTACCGTTTTTATACAAAATAACTAGACGTTAAAGTCGTCTTAAGACGACTTTGACGTAAGGCAGGAAAGCTGGATGAACAAATGAGTAAAGTAATGTGGTTCTACAGTCTGAACTGGAGGTTGAAATAAGGCGAAATATCATTAAACTGTTCAGGGTGTGTGATCTTAAAATTTAAACCAAGTCGCCGAAGACGCTTAGTATGAACAGTTTTACAGGACATTCAAATACTGTAGCTACTTCGATTTTTCGTATGCTGCTCGAAACACACTTTGGAAAACAACGTTTACCATAACGGCAAAAACAATAATAACATTCATGGTGGAAAAACACCTGCGCCTGTACTAGTCAACATAAGAACAGTTAATTTATAAATTAGCTAGCCATAAGTCGATATCATTTTAAGTCCCGTGTTGAACTACTTTTGAAAATGCATGTTAAGAGGCAAACAGGTTTATCATAAAATGAATTTAGCCTAGTACCCTTATTAGTACTGTGGCATATTATTTTTAATCAAGTTGTAATAATAATCTACAGGTTACCGAGTTCTGCCTTTGTAAACAATCAGCTGGTGGTTTCAAAGCCACGCCTAGTTCTCAGACCTTCTTTCTGGGAACCAAACTGCAAATGAAAGAAAGAAAAACGTTACAAAGGACGCCATAGATTTCCATCCAACAAAACCTGGAGTAGGTAGCGAATTTTAAGTGATGTTAACCAAGTCGTCCCAACAGCAAGTTGACTTTCAATTAGATGATTAGGGGTAAAAACCGTGTCCGCGGAAAATTAAGGCAGGTGCTTGTAGGTTTGTCAAAAGTAATTTGAATTTTATTACAGTTTTAAGACTCTGTTAGAACGGTTTCAAGCGTCCTACAATACAACCATAAAAGGTGATACTCGAGCCAATCACAAGGCCCCGAAGTCAAATGAACCAATCGAATCCAAGCAAATGAAAAAGCGGGAAAAGCCGAGGTTAGTTTGTTTTCGCTTCTGCCCGCTAAGAGGCACAAATGTTTTTAAATATACATATTAATGAGCTTTGTGCAGCAGTGAAAGTCGGCTTGTGTACTTATGAAATTCAGAGTTATCCGTTCACCTTGCTTCTAGAAAATGAATGAAAAGCATGAAGATAATAATAATAATAATAATAATAATAATAATAATAATGATAATAATAGTAATAAAACTGACTGCATTTCATGCCATAAAGGATTTTAACTCCACCCTTAGCGGCAATCAGACAATCCGTGAATTTAATTATTTTTAAGCGTAATCGTCTTAAATTTGTAATATAAATGGTTTGGAGTTAATATCATTTTAATAGTTTTTACATATTTTAGCTTTTTAACGTCTTCGTTAATTGTGTGTGTTTTATTTTATTTTATCAGATCCTTTTTGAAAACCATATGTTATATGAATGATATCCCATTAAAGATTAGTAATAATAATAATGATAATAATAATAATAATGATAATAATAATAATAATAATAATAATAATAATAATAATAATTCGGATGATGATGATGATGATGATGATGATAGTAATAAATTCCACAATACCCCCAGCAAATGAACAAATGAACAAAACAATAAACATCGCTGGTTGCATATCACAGATCAGGTGGCTATGCGTAATGAATGGCTGGTTTTATTACCTTTTAATGCTGGGGACTCAACACTAGTGGAAAGGTTTTTAAAGGGTCATTAAAGTTAATAACGTTCCTCATCATGTCCAGCCTCTTAAACCGAGTCCAACAAGCTGTGTTAACTTTGATATCGTCACCGGTATCAATCCTTGATTGACATGCTACTTCATTTATTTACCTAACAGTACTTTACACGACACTCTTTTCCTCCCAAGTCAATTAGAATTCATAGGATTGACCATAAATATTTTTGGAAAAGCTAAAAGGTCATAAATAGATAAACTTTACGGACCTTGATTTTTTTTTGTTGACGGCATCTGGTCTGTGATTCAATTTAATCTGGTCAAATTGGTTTTTACGACTAAGTAGGAGCCAAGTTCTGTGTGAAGTTGCCGATTGTCGGCAACTTCATATTTTTAGATTCCGGGCCTCCAAAAGATTGGTTTAATACCAAGACTACATCATGAATACAGCCACAATGTAAACGAGATTTCAACAGGACATCACAAGAAGGTAGCCAAAGAAAATCTTACACTGGTCTTACTACAGAAGCATTACTAGTTACGTTTTAGTTAGCCATGCGACGCGATGCAGGTTATAATATCACATCCTAAAGAGTTACAATACAAAGCGTAACATTTATTTCCGGTTTAGTCTGAAACGTTAATCGCTTCCAACAGAACACAGGCGGATAACAGCTTCCGGCCAACAGGTTGAGATACATCTTCCGCGCTTATTACATTTATCATTGGCCTTTCAGAACGGTTGACGCCTTACCAAATGCCAACAGGTTGTGATTATGGTTTACTTACTTAAAAGTATAAGAACTTGATATTTATACACTGGCTATATATATTATATATTCATTTGCAAAAAAAACTGAATAGAACTCAATTCTCTTGTCACATTACACCGAAATTTTTTTCCTTTGATACTGCGACTCAATTCTTTAATTTTCAACAATTTGCTCCCCCGGCAACGTTTTACTGAATTTCCTTCATCTCCATTTCACGCCGGATTCAAAACTGCTTCAGAAAAAGGGACAAGGTCAAACAAAAAATGAGAGAAGTTGCACTTAAAACATTCAACAAAGTAAAACTTAAGAAAAAATGAGAACCAATGTTACACTCAATTAAGTGACAGCTAAATTCACGATGGATCTGGTATAAAAATGTTGCAACAATTCACGTACGTTAGAAGTCAGCTGGAACTTTAAGAGCTTGACAAGTGAAGCAAAGGCAAACAATGTTGTATGTATTGGAAATATGAAACAATTCTGTACTACACTTACCCAGAGTCACTTTTTTGTATCAGAGTGAGACTATTCAGTTTTTTTTTATCATATATCCTCTGTTAGTTTTAAACACTGGCGTTTAACCAAGGACCTGTTTAGGCACAACGATAACTTGATTCTAGATTTTTTTGTGCATCTCCCAACCCCGTACATGCCACTCGGAACACGTCGATAGCAGTATGTGGAGATTTTTTTGTGGTGGAGATTTTCGTGTGAATTCGCCTGCGGCACCTTATTACTTTAAAGCTCCCGGACCGCCTCAGGCCTAGGGTTCGAAAACATCCATCTGGACCTCATTTATTAAGAAATGTCTAACGCAAGAGTGATCACTTTGGGCTACTTGTTCATTAACATATAAAGGAGAAAACATTAGTGTTTCGATGTTTCGTTTGTTTGGTAACGCCCATCCTGTGTCACCTTTTAATTTCAAGCGGTCGTTCCGTTTTTCATGCGCCCGGCGTCACATTACAGAGGACCCAAAGGACCGGGCGCAGGCACTGAGGGCGCGGGCGGAGATTGATCGGTGAAAGACACTTTTCCCGAAATAAATCAAGTTCAAATTTCATGCCTTAAAAATAGCTTATTTCGGTACCATTATTGGAGACATTTCTGTATATCGCACTTAAAGTAAAAGGTTTATTACGAATGTACGTAGTCTGCAAAACACAACCTCGTTCCCAGGGTTCTCTCCTACCCCCCATCGGGGCGGGTAGGAGAGAACCCTGGGAACGAGGTTGTGCAAAACAGTCTATGCAAAAAACCATTGGGCAACGACCAAGGAATACAGAGAGTTTTGACATATGGAAAAAAAATAAATTAAAATTGTAAATTGCTTTTTTACCCACGAAGCACTTAAGAGTTCATATGAACTCGTTTAAACGTGTCCGTGCGTTCCAGATCGAATTGGAATTTGGAAGTGTTGGTTTTTAAGGAGAGGGGCAAACCGGAGTACCCGGAGAAAAACCTCTCGGAGCAAGGGAGAGAACCAACAACAAACTCAACCCTCCCTCCCTCGCCACCCTTGCATCCCGAGAGTGCCATGTACCAAAAACATGTTCAGTTTAAGGAGCGAACATGCACATGTCTTAAAGAAAAGGCGCTTTTATCTACGCACAGCAACCGGAAGTGAGGCCTTTTCCCGTATAAAGTCCACTTCCGGTTAATATTCGTTGTTCAAAAACGTCTTGTTTTTATTATATTCAGCTGGAAAGGGCACCGCAACTAGCCCCGCTAAGGTGTCCACACCCACAAAACTTGTCTGTCCTCAGTTTCCTTTTTTTTAGCAAGGTGAAGCGGACGTCACTGGGCACGTTCTCATCACCAGCTGTGCAACAGAAAAGATTTGTTGTACCTCTACTACACAGCCAGTACTCT